TAAGGCTTTGATACCAACTTGTAACACCCTCATTTTTTTTGTGAGAATGTCACGTAATCTGAAACAATTCTTAAATACATACTCCAAAAGACGGCTAACATAAAACCTTTTGAACTGTCTACAGCGGAGGTCCTTGAACCGTTCAAAAATTTACTTAAGTTCTAACCCACCTCATACCGGGTTAAGTTACAAAGATCAACACAACATCAAAAGACTAAACATAAGATGATAAGTAGCAACTCTGTAAGCGTGTCCTTTGCTCTTATCCAATCTCGAACTACCTGGCCCTGAGATGCATACAATAGTAAGTTTATAAAGCTCAATGAGTTCATGGTTTGCGTGAGTAAAGATCATTTCACATCATACATATCAACTTGTAAACTTTGTACCAAAAGTATGCATTTTCTGAAAAACATGCAGCACTGAAATCACAGAGATCTCATAACTTGTCTGTCGGGTGTGAGTCATTTAGTCACAAACACGCCCTAGGTTGATACTTCAATCTTAATTGATCACCCACTTGTCCGGGTAGTATTTTATACTGGTCCTGACTTGCTGGTCAAATGCTCACCCGCTAAAACTGATCATAAAACTTTCATATGATATAACATGCTAGAGTTATTTGAAAACTGCTTAAACACATAGCATGCAACTGATCATAAAATGACATACATGTAAAATATATCATGTATGTAAACTGAAAAATCATGTATATGTACCCGTTATCATATACATCATATAATGCTCGAAAATAAATTTATACATAGGTATGCATCCCATTGTAAGTCTCATGAAGACTCACCTGTTAACGTAGATTGCTTAACTAACGTCACTGTCTGGCAACCTACAATTTATAATAGTAAATAGCATATAAATGATTAATTTCTCCCAAAGGTTAACATAAAGGTCAACTTACGGTCAACTATGTTGGCTAGGGTCAACCTTGGTCAACTATGCTTAAGAACATTCTTCACATCAACAAAATTATAGGAACGTGAGTTCAGACACAAGGGGTATCATCTAGCTATATACCTTAAACGACTAAGTCTGGAAGAAGACCAAAGCCTCTGTGGACGGCCAGAGCCTCTGGTTTCATTGACAGAGCCTCTGGACTCTTAAGTCCTTTAGGCCAGAGCCTCTGTGGTGTATCCTCTAGAGCTTATGGTCTCACAACCAGAGCCTCTGGTTGAATCATACTTAGCAATTATA